CATTCCTGCACAGTGTGTTTGAGTAAGATCTGAAAGAATTCTCTGCAGCATGCAGAAATCATGTTTGGATATTTCTCACTGTAAGATTCCCTGTGCTTATTTTACTTTTAGTGGAACTTTACTACTCCTACTCCTCTTCACAAAAATTCATAGGTTTTGTATTGTGGACATGCAAGCAAATTCAGACCATGTGGAAAATGTTATGCCACTGCTTGGCTTTAATTAGAACTGCTTGAAAATACAGTTGTATGCTCTGCATGCATGTATATGTCTGACCCTTTTTATGGAAAATACGTCCATGAGAATTTCTTAAGTTTGTCTGTAATAATATTTCACCTTATCCAGAAATGCTTGTAATCCCTGTTAGGGCATCACATACCGTTACTTTGGCATATAATTTGCCATTCTTAGTGAAATGTATTTGGTGATTTAAACAAAGACTTCCTTAAGCCCAATTGGTTTTGCCACTGGCCTGATAGAGAAGGAGTTCACAGTAAAAAAAAAAAACAACCTACCACACAGTTTCATCGTGTTTTTCAGGTTCGACAAAATAATTTGCTTGTTCACAAAACTGTGAAATCTGAATGTAGTACTTGAATTTTAACTTCCTTTAACTGATGACATTTTGGAGAAGGGAAAATGCAGGAAGAAGTGTAACTAGTAGCCGTGAAAATTGGCATGATAGATGCCAGTCTGAGATCACTTCAGTCATGCAACCATTCTGTAGTGATAAAATGTGTATTTGCTGATTGTAAAAAGGAGATACGGCTTTGCACAGTGTTTTGGCCCAAGAGATCTGTGTCTGAGGCAGCAGGATATTGGGTCTCCCTTAATTCTGCAATAGGACCACCTGTCCCAGATGAGATGCTTCACTGTAAGTATCCCACAGGAAACTAATTTTAAGGGACTCCATAGAAAAGTCTCATGGCCATGCTATTGGGAAGTATGTGGAGGTCATTCAGAATTAAAATAAGCAGGCTGGCATGCAGTAGACCATTTTCAAATGCATTGCAGTAAGCTGCATTAAGCTGAGGAAATCTAGGATTTTGTTATATACTCTCTTGTTCACAATTTATTATGGACATTTCTTCATTGACTAAATCTACACAAAACACTCCTGTAGATGGGAAACATCAATTTCTGGAGTTATAGGGCTCACACAGAAATAATGAGCTTCTTGACTCTCACGATCTTTAGAACAAATAGTGGTTCAGTGGAGGACTGGGGAAAAAACACATTAAAATGGGTCAGACATTAGAAAAAGGAAAAAAGGTCAAGTTTGTATTGTCATTATTGTGTGCTGCATTTTCCTATCTTCTTTTGTGGTTTTACTTGTAGTAGGCTTAAGGAAGAAGAAGACTTTGTACCCCAGTGATTCAGATAACTAAAGTACTGCTTGACCATTCAGATGTTTATATCTAAGCCATTCTATGCGGGGTCTCAATCCTACAGCTCTAATTTACATGAGTAGTCTCATCGAAACAATTGGATGTTATTTGACAGCTTTACACTGGTAACAGCTAAGGAGTCATGACATATTTTTGAGAACTCTTATTTTCAAACCAGTCAGTTCATAATAGGTGATTTCATTGTATTCGAAATGCTGCAGTGGAAGTGAATGTTAATGACACTGCTTACTCCAGAGGCTTGCTTAGACATGTTGACAAATAACAACAGTATTTTATTTATTCACAATTCTAATGAGTCTCAGATATGCCTAAACCTGTTCATTAAGAGATGGCAGCTGCTGCTTAACAATGCTTCTGGTTGCCAGTGAACTATTTGTTCTTGTGAGTCAGTCCTCAAAAAACTGACCAAAACCCCCAAAATACCACCCAGAATGCAGTTAGTATTTGCACTTCGTGTTGTTTGGTTCCACGGCTGATGAGCAGTACTCTTCTCAACTAGCTTTTTTAAAAACTATGACAAGCCTTTGTATTCCTGTCTTTGTGGGTGTGGTGGTTGGTATTTTTCTAAACTAGGAGCAGAAGGAAGGAAATCATATTCAAAAAAGGGGAAAACCAGAACTTTTTGCCCTTTTCTGAAGACTGCCATGAAGCAAACCAAAACTTATGTTCTGCCTACCTCCAAAGAGTGATTGACTATTAAGATTATTTTAATACACTATTATATAAACATAAATCTGCTGAGCGAGAACACTCAAAATCCATTTCAGACCTTGCCCTGTGCTGTTGAGAGTAACATTTAATGTTTAACAGCTGGATGTCATTTGAGATGAACTTTCAGAAGTAGCAGGCCTCAATTCTGTTCTCCCTTCATCTCACTGCTTTCCTTTCCTATGGCAACAAGATTTTTGAGATTACACTATGTCCCCCATTCATGTGCTCCTAAAGCACCTTTGGAACTTGCTAGCTGATTTTAAACAGATTTGACGGGTCAAACTAAAAGATAATTAAGCTGCCAAGGAGTTCCTTGAAAAGAAGGTGCTGAGTTCAGAAGAGGCAGGGTGCTCTGCTGAAGGAAATTTGCCAACATTAGTTCATACAGTATTACAGAGGAACACTGAAAATTGCTTCAACCAGCCACTCCAGCTGGAGTTTGTATTGCAGATATCAAATTTAATTCACTGCAAGACCGAAATCCATAGGAAATCAGATTTCATTATTGCCAAAGTTCATGGAATTGTTAGTTTGTCCTAAAGATCCCTGTCTCCAGCAGTGCTCATTCAGTGTTTCTTTATTATCCTCAGTTATGCATGGAACCCCAGGCTTTATCTGCCCTTTATTTATCTTGTGCTGACCACAGAATATTAATTTCTTCATGAGGTTTTTCATAAAGCTCGTCATGCTGTATTTTTGATTTTTATCTTCATCTTCGTAGTAACATTAAGTAGGATATTCAGCATTGCACACACAGGAGCCAAAGTGCAGAGATTAAAGCAAAGAGGATAAAGTGCTGGTGCAACATAGGGCATAATTTTATTATACTATCTTGTTTAATTAAAAAAAAAAAGTCTGTTTTGGACATTGAATGAGCCAGATACTCCTCTGGAAACAGTACCATATAATTAGGTCATGTAAATCAAAACTTAATCACAATGTTTGAGTACAGGGGTTGCATCTTAGCATGTAAATTTAGCCAACCAAAATTTACATGACTGGTCTGGTATCTGGAATCATCTCTATTCAGTGGAAAGAGATGCATGTTTTTAGGATAAAATTTTGTTTTGGAGGTGCCTTTCTCTCACTGTCTTACCAATCTCCACACTTGATTATAGAGGACTTCATTTCTCAGCCTATATGGTTTCATATGGTTAAAGTTAAATAAATTATAAACTCCAGGAGATCAAAGGAATGTTACATATTTGACTGACTTCTGGCATTTTCTGCTTTCTGCAAGATCTTGACTTTGAAGCTCAGATTTCTCTCTTAAGTAGGGGGTTTGAGGTGCAACTGTATTAATCCCTACATAGATGATCTGTTGAGGAACCTTAGAGTAACAGCACAGCTATCTTCTCAAGTTTGTGAAATAACTAGTTGCAGTACAACATTGTTACAGTCTACATGGCAGTAACAGAAGAGGGAGATAGAGACCCACACTTTGCCATTGGGTTAGATGTTTTAGACATTTTGGAATAGCAGGCTTTGGGAGCAAGGACTTCATCCCCATTTCTTGAGGAAGGTGGTCTGCAGCAGTTAGATACTGCTATGCCTGACCCTGTATCCTTTCCTCTTCCTGTCCCTGTACCCCCGAAGATTACTTTCTTTACTAATACATCCCTAGCTTTTGTTTGATACTGCTTGTGCTCTGTCC